GTTCCCTAATCCATTGCAATAAAAAGACAAGCTGGCAGCCATCGAGTCATTGCTGACTCAGAGCAGCCCCTGCAGGTTTCCGAGAAGGTAACTGTTTGTGGGAGTAGAAAGCCCAGTGGCCACACAGAACTCACAGGGAACCCTCTTGATCTCTGAGTTTTTTTCAGAGGAGTTTACAGGTTCTAAGTCAGGATCAAGAAAGCATTAAGGGCAGTCCGCAGTGCCTCTTCTCGGCCATGCTGCAGGCTCTCTGGTCCTCGGCCTCGAAGCTGTGTGGCCCTGTGGCCTCGGCCCCAGTGCTCAGGTGGCACCTTGCTTTTCAGACCAGCCTCCTGCCCACAGGCGCTCAGCTTTCCTCTTTCTGTCAGCCACAGGCAACTGCTGTGTCAGGGCATGGTGATCCGTGTGGCTTCTTCCTCGGGGTCTCGGCTGCGTTTTTCCACGCAGGGACTTCGCTCAAGCATGGCTTATGCTGCTGCTGCTGCTGCTGCTGTCATTGTGTGTCTGCTTCTGTAATGTCCCCCTTACACGCAGTGGAATGACAAAACTAACAAGTCCCTGAGTTAGAATCCTCTACACTTGAGGTAGAATTCTACATTTGGTGAAAATGACAATGGCTGTGGATGGAAGCGCCACACCAAGTCATTTCACTTTACCACCGATGTGAAATGCGTACACGGTTGTGGGAAACATGTGTTGCCACAGGTGGTAATGAAATATCTAAGACATCAAGGTGACCCAGAGAGGTTCTTGATTACATGCACATTCCAGATGAAGTCTTTTTTTTTCTAATTGTAAGTCCATCTTATAAATACAAGGGTAAATATTTTAAACACCAACATTTGATTAAATTCTTAGGCGATTCCTTTAAGGCAGACACACACACACACACACACACACACACACACACACACACGAGGGGACTTCAAAAAATTCATTCATGGAAAACGGAATTAAAAGATAATTTAAAATTTTCAAGCCCCCCACATATGAGTATGTGTGTGTGTATATTTATATATACATGTATGTGTGTATATATACATTTACATACACAAACGCACACATGATTTCTGTTAATTTTTAAGACATCACTTTGAGAGTAGTTGTCAGGTCCTGCAGTTTTTCCCTTTCTGGCCCCCAGCCCACCTCGTTTTGGCAATCAGGGACATGCAATGTTTTATGCAACTCAGATAGGTCTCTTGCCCTGGAGATGGGGCTGGGGAGAGTATGAGAATCCTGCTTTGGAGGAAATGTATAGTTCATGTGAAAATGATGACGAGCAGTTAAAATTCTGGAGCCCCTGCTGATGAAACTGAAGTGGAGGCTGAGACGTGGGGCTATGTGTCTAGTCAGAGCAGCGGCACTGAGCAGTCTCTCTCGGCTCGCGGGAGGGGTTTGGTTGGTTGCTTTGTCTTCCTTAACATGCTGCAGAAAATTGTTTTAGTGCATTTGTCCTGGTCCCTAATGGAAGAGACCCCATGATGAGCCACCAAATCTGCCTCCGTTTCAGAGCTGAAACAGACAGCTCCCCTTCTTACTTCTGTCTCAATGTGAGTCTTGTTTAACCCACGCGCACGCACACACACGTAGTTGGAGAGTGCAGATAACACAACACTTAAGCCGTCACCTCATGTCAGTTCAGGAGTAGAGACTTTCCACGTGGAGTGGTAGGAGCTGCAGGATGCAAAGCCCCGGAGTCCCGCGGAGACCTTGGAAGGATTGGCGGCGTTTGGGGATGCTCCCAACAAGAAGCACGGTTCAAGGAACCAATACCTGGGGCTGTTTTCATTCGCTTGTGGACTCTGCGTACGATTTCATAGGGTTCCATATATGTGCCATGAAAACCTAAGATTCCTTGCCAGCAGGCTTTCTCTGTTTCAGCACTGTGGACCTTTGAGGTTGGGTGCTGGGGTGGGGTACCCTGTGCTCTGTAGATGTGAGGCAGCATCTTGGGCCCCTACCTTCTAGAGGACAGTAGCACCCCTCCCTTTACCAGCGGTTCTCAACCTGTGGGTCGAGACCCCTTTGAGGGTTGAACGACCCTTTCATAGGGGTTGCCTAGGACCACTGGAAAATGCATCTTTCCGATGGTCTTAGGAACCGAGACACCACTGCTCTATCCGTCTCCAGGGGTGTTCACCCACATGCAGATACGCCCACATACGAGTACCTGGAGTGAAGACTGTTACCCATGCTACACCATGCTTTGAGACAAAATTACATTTATTTGTCATTAGAAATAAATATTTCACAATATATAATGACATATTGTTTTTTATGATTAATCACTATGCTTTAATTATGCTCAACTTGTAACAATGAAAATACATACTGTATATCAGATGTTTACATTACGATTCATAACAGTAGCAAATGCTCTCTTTTGCTCTGTCTTGTTTTTGTGCATCGTATTATCTCCGCAGGTCTAGGCTGGATGAACAATCTGGAGGAGAAAACAACAGGACCAACAGTTCCGGGGAAATATGGGAGTGAGGGAATTGAGGGGAAGGGAAGTGGTGTTAACAAGCCCAGGGACAAGGAAACTACAAGTGATCCAAATCGGTGGTGAGGAG